CATTTCCATTTTTGGAGAGGATATAGGATCTACACAGCCAATAAAAAGTTCAGCGACTAAGTGACTTGCACCATAGAAGATGCATCAGAATAGCCTGCTTCCCATAAATGCAACGACAAAGTTTACTATCATAAATATAGTGAGCGGTGCATTAATGGCGAAGAAAAGATTCAATCCAAGACCTTCTTTTTGTAACAACTTGGGAAGCTCGGGATCGAGCAAACTGAAAATGGTAAACGGATCATGTGAAATAAACACATTGCTGGATAGTCACTAAATGACGCACTTTATTATATAACAGGGATCAATATCGCAATTAGATCTTTAAAAATAAGTACTCTGCGCCACGTGCCAAACAAAAATTGTGTGTAATATAGAAGCCAATTTTAGGCAACTTTAGGCTTAGGCTTAATTCCTTCATGATAACGTGACTAGTGATGGGCTGTAAAGTTAAAACGCCCATCACCAAGTAATGAATGAATGAATGATGGTGATGATGGTCTAATTGTTTTTGTCTTACATTACTATTTTGGGAGGAGTTAAAGGAGCTATATATATATATATATATACCTTTTTGAATATGATAAACATTCTAACCTTTTTTATTATAATTGTCAAATAATTTCCATTTTTGTGTTTCTCTTATCTAGCGAACACTTGTTAAAATCTTTTTTTTTTTAACAAAAAAAAATTCACATTTCAAAAAAATGAATAATAGTGAACATCATTCACTATCAATGATTATTAATTATGATAAAAAATTAATTAAAAAATTTCGAAAATTAACGGAAAAGGTTTTACATTCAGACATTAATCATAATAAAAAACAAGAATATCTTGAACAATTTAGAGATGGAGTTAATGGTACAAAATTTAATGCTTTATGTCCTATACCAGGATATCCTGAAATTATAGAAGATAATAGTAATAGTAATAGCAAAGATGAAAATAACAGTAATAGTAATTTTAATTATAATAACTACAATAACGATTATAGTAATAATAGTAGTAATAGTAATAGTAATAATAATAATAATAACAGTAATAATGGCAACTACAATCTTAATAAACATATATCAACAACATCTATTAATGAAAATGATAAAGATGATTCATCAATTTCACAATCACTATTACCTTCTCCCAAATTTTATAATACATCATTTTTCTCAGAAAAAGAAGATTATTCTACATATAAAACATTGACGGCAAATAGCATAGATGATGATACGTTGGTTGAATCAAATAGGATTTTTCTAAAAAACAAACAGATTGAAGCAAAATTTAAAGAAAATAAAAAGGAAAAAATTGTTAATAAATTAGAAGAAATAAAAACTAATTTAATTGAAATAGAATGTCCTAATTGTGCATATTTAAATCATCCAATAATGATAAAATGTGAAGTATGTAATACTCAATTAATACAATTATCCTCATCTTCCTCGTCGTTATCATCATCATCAATAATATATGAAGAAAATCAAAGTATTCAATCAGAAATAATAAATTATGAATTAGTGAAGACTAGGTTAACAATTTTATCAATCAATGACCCTGATTATATTAAATTTAGAAATATTTTAATATCTGAAATACCAAAATCTAATGTTAAAGGTGTAATTAAAATAGATATGCCAACAAAATTGTTGAAAAACCATGAAAAATATAAAAAAAATATATCAAAAAAGACCGGTTTACCATTAGAAAAAATCACTCATCAAGTATTTCATGGAACAACAACAAGGTTCGGTTGTAATCCTGAAAGATTTTTAGTGAATCACAATTTCTATAATGAAAACTATGATTGTAAATTTTGTAAAAAAGGTTGTGGAATGTGTGGGATCCTACAATATGGAAATAAAAAACAACTTTCTAAACATTCAAAAAGTAAGCAATTATATCATCATTTCGTTTACACGCCATCATTATATTATTATTCCTATTTTTCTTAATTTTCTTTTCTTCTTTTGATAGAAATGTGGTTTGCACATAGTACTTTGGTTTCGCGTCATTATACAGGATTTAATTCTATAAAAGTGATGTTTGTTGTTGAGGTAGTATCAAAAGATAATAATTGGATTCTTGTTGTAAGGAAAAATAAGGTAATACATATTTATAATAATTATTATTGTTACCATTCTCTTATTTTTAATGATACATTATTCACTTTTTTTCTTCATATAGGCAACACTTCCAAAATTTATGATTATCTTTGAACAATAATTACAATTTATTAATAATAATTATTATATTGAGTTTTTTTTTTTTTTAATTTAATAATAATAAACATGTAAAATACCCTTAAATTTTTTTTTGTCAAATTTATAAAAAAAATTTTTGTATAAATTTAGCTAATATTAATTAATTAGAAAAGGTCTGGTACTTTTTTTTTATATAGAAAATAAAAATTTGTATATTAATATTATGTGACCGGGTTTATATATTGAAAAATGAATGAATTGACTAGTAGTTTATCATACTTAATATAAATATGTTAATACAATGATATACAAAAACAAAAACAAAACTTTTAGAATATATATATATATATATATATTAAAATATAATCAAAATATGTTATATATAAAAAAGACTGTACAAATTTACTATAGTAAATAAAAAAAAAGAAATCCAAGTCCTCTTCATCTCATAAAATATACATCTATCAATATTTGCAAATTTGACAAATCTATAAATAATAAAAACTTTCGAATCTTTTTATTATAGTTCATCATGATAATTTCAATAATTGATATAAAAAAAATAATGAATGAAAAGAGAAGGAAAAAAATTGCAAGAAAGAAATAAAGAAAAGAAAGAAAGAAAAGAAAGAAAAGAAAGAAGAATCAATGAATGAAAACAATAAATTAAAATCACTGAAAAAGGACCAAGAATTTTACAAGCGTTGCCTATTTAAAATGAAATGTTAAAGATATATTCATTAATTTATTCAAAATTTCAAATAATTAAAATATAGCGACTATATAATATATAATAGGCGTTACCTCTTCTTTATCAACAATAATTACATTTGCTTGAGGTCCTACTAATGAAATTACATCCACTATAAAGATTGCTTTAATTGGATCATTTGAACAGTAACCAAGAGAAATTGCAGAAGAATTTGCAAACCACATTCCTTTAAAAAAAAAAACATTACAATCATAATTTACTTACAAGTTTACTATATTAAGGCCTCCTATTCCATCGGGAATATTACCGGTCAACTGATTATCATTTAGGACCAAATCACTTAACTTGACTAATTTGACCAATGATGCTGGTATTTGCCCATTCAAACTATTTTTTCCTAATGATAAGGTCAATAAGTTTTTCATTGTTGAAATGGAATCTGGTATTTTATTTTGGAATGCATTGGCACCGAGATCAAGGACAGTAAGGGTATTTTGAAAATTAGATTGAGCCAACGTTGCTGGGATGTCACCTGATAATAAATTAGTGTTAAGGTTTAACGTCTTCAGTGCCTTCAGCTGCATCAATGACTCGGGGATGTTTCCGGTTAATTGATTGATGCTCAAGTCCCTACAAAATAAAATAATTTTAATCAAGACATATGTAATTTCTGTAAAATACCCTTAAATTTTTTTTTGTCAAATTTATAAAAAAAATTTTTGTATAAATTTAGCTAATATTAATTAATTAGAAAAGGTCTGGTACTTTTTTTTTATATAGAAAATAAAAATTTGTATATTAATATTATGTGACCGGGTTTATATATTGAAAAATGAATGAATTGACTAGTAGTTTATCATACTTAATATAAATATGTTAATACAATGATATACAAAAACAAAAACAAAACTTTTAGAATATATATATATATATATATATTAAAATATAATCAAAATATGTTATATATAAAAAAGACTGTACAAATTTACTATAGTAAATAAAAAAAAAGAAATCCAAGTCCTCTTCATCTCATAAAATATACATCTATCAATATTTGCAAATTTGACAAATCTATAAATAATAAAAACTTTCGAATCTTTTTATTATAGTTCATCATGATAATTTCAATAATTGATATAAAAAAAATAATGAATGAAAAGAGAAGGAAAAAAATTGCAAGAAAGAAATAAAGAAAAGAAAGAAAGAAAAGAAAGAAAAGAAAGAAGAATCAATGAATGAAAACAATAAATTAAAATCACTGAAAAAGGACCAAGAATTTTACAAGCGTTGCCTATTTAAAATGAAATGTTAAAGATATATTCATTAATTTATTCAAAATTTCAAATAATTAAAATATAGCGACTATATAATATATAATAGGCGTTACCTCTTCTTTATCAACAATAATTACATTTGCTTGAGGTCCTACTAATGAAATTACATCCACTATAAAGATTGCTTTAATTGGATCATTTGAACAGTAACCAAGAGAAATTGCAGAAGAATTTGCAAACCACATTCCTTTAAAAAAAAAATAATATCCAATTTGTTTTTTTAAAATAATAATATTATTATTACAATTACTATTCTTAAAATTTAATAAGTTATCGGTTAAATATATATATAATACTTACTTCCTTGATGTTTAGAAAATTTACGACTATTTCCATTCGTTGCTATTCCACACACTCCACAATTGGCTTTACAAAAATCCCATACAGCTAATCCACCATAACGAACCACATTGCAACAAACTCTTGTTCCGTGAAACATTTTATGAGTAACGGATTCCAAATTACGATTACCATTTTTAGCTATTTGTTTCTTATGTTTTTCATGTGCTTCAACTAATCTGGATGGCATTTGTAAGCGCAATATTGTCAAAATTTTTGCTGCCGGTAATCCAACACGGAAATGTTGCTGTGTGACCATGTAATCGTGATCATTCATTTTCAAAGGAATTACAATTGTTTTCTTATTTTTATTAATCGATCTTAAACTTTCACCACCACCAACTAATTCATTATGACACATTTCACATGTCAAGGATGATGAGTTATTTAAATATGTACAATGTAAGCATTGAATTTTGTCATTGTTGTTGTTTGGTAACTTATTTGCAAATAAATGTTCAAATTTATTTTTGTTCTTATTAATTAAAGGTAAAAAGCACATTTCACATTGTCCACTATTTGGATCATTAATAAACGAACACGAGCCGCATTGTAATTCAATTGAGCCCGATAAAGTTGCATTTCGACCTATGACAACTGATGATGGTAATGGAGGTGGAGACGTTGCTGTTGCTGTTTTCTTTTCCTCCTTCTTTTTTGATACTATTGTACCACACATTTCACATACTGTTTTATTTGGTCGAATAAAGAATGTACAAGATGGGCATGATATTTCTAGATCATCATCATCATCCTTAATAGCATTATTAGAAGGAATCGAGATTGGATCATAAATAAAATCACCGTAAATTAAATCCCTTTCGGCCGGTGCACTTAGCCACAATGGAATATCAGATGATTCATCATCATCATCTATCACTATATAGTTTTTTGAGATTGAATATGGATTAGATTGAGTTATTGTCGGTTTTGATGTTTTTGTTGATGATCTTTTTTCCATTGTATTGAATGATGTTGTTTTTCTTGTTGATTTAACAGATAATGATGGCCTTTTGAGTGGCGATGCTGTTGGTGAAGGCGGTTTTGAAAAAATACTTTTAAGTAGAGAGGGAACTGGAGGGGGGTGGGGAGCTTGATAACTATTTAAATATGAGTTTGTTCTAAATAATTGATTATTAATACTATTACTACTGCTACTACTACCTCCTCCACTGTTATTATTATTATTCATTTTTGCGGTGTTGTAAGTAGAAATGGGTTGTAAAATTTGAGGAATTTCGTTTGTCATAGAATTATTGTCTACGCTAGAATAATTTTTTGCCTGACAAGAACTACTACAATAATTAACCTCAATACCATTATTTTCAATTTTACAGATATTATTACAACCAGGCCTTTGACAAATAAGGTTGTCTTTATTGGATCTTTTTCTAATTTTAAACATTTTCCTTTATTGTTTCTTAATTTTTTAAAAAAAATTATTATATTTATTTGTATATTAATAATGATAATGATAATGATAATTATAACAATAAAAAAATGATAACAATGATATTAATGAGTGTTGGGAATTAAAGAAACAATTTAAAATCAAAAAAATACCATTTTTATTTATAATTATTTGCGGAAGCATTCTCCGTATACCAGAAAAGTGTTTTGTTATACAAGTTTTCCAAATGAATAAATGATTATTTCTCGTTTCTCGTAACAAGTGTAACTTGCTTGATATATAATATAATGCACGTGACTTTAGACTAGGAAAGTTGGTGCCTAAGCTTTATCGAAGTTAAAGTATTTTTACATAGACCTTGTAATGTCGGACTTTTCTTTATTATCCAAACATTTTGATTGGCCATAAATCACGAGATTTTTTGAAAGTGGGTAAAATAAAAGATCAGAACAATTAACTTCATCAATTGATTTTTCCGCAATATCTGATAATGAGTCAACTGGTAGTGATAAACTTATATATAAGTTCTGAAGATGAACAAAGATCACATAATAGAAAATCATTGCGCCTGAATGGTTTAAATCATATTTGTGGTTAGGAATTGAAGTTTCAAATGAAAAAACAGTCCTAAATTAATGGAATACTAACTTTGTCAAAAGGTACATTTAATTTAAGATTAAAAACATCCAAATTCAAATTCCAATGCACATAAAAATTTGAATCACTTGGTGCAGACCAATTTAAATCAAATTCTGATTTGGCAAATCAATTGAGCACAAATGAATTAAAGTATTTATTTATTTTATTAGTAAAATTTTTTTGTGTTTACACATATTTTTATTAGGAACGTCAATCAATCCTTTTTATTTCGTGACCGGGTCCTAAACAAACTGGACTTTCTCAGGTCCAGTCCTACCATTTGGGGCTTAAAAGGTCAACGTGTAACCATATGCGCTGATTTTGTTTGAACCCAAAATTCAGTACAGTATAATCTAAGGCTCCGAACGAATCGAATCGAACCGAATTTGAGAGTGATTCGATTCGATTCGTGACTCGATTTGAATTGATTCGAATCAAACCGGATTCCTAAAATTTTTTTAACGTCATATTAAATTTATATTTTTAATTTGATAATTTAAATTTATATTACACAGTGAATCTCAATTAGTGTGCCTCCATTTAATGAATACTAATGGATTGAGGTCTAAGAATGGTTTAATGATAATAAAATTCTTCTTGATATGATATTTATTAGAATTTTTAATAATAACGGATTTCTTGATATTAATATTAATATTAATGGTCGTGTGACCTATATTATTAATGAGTAAAAAAGTAACGATTTACAGTTGTACAATTCATTAATATTAAATCTAAAATAATTCGAACCAGTCGGTTTGAATCAAATCAAATCAGTTCAAATCAAATTATATATTTGAATCGGTTCGAATTTCATTGATTCGTTCAGAGCCTTAGTATAATCATAATGTTTATATTAGCAAAAACCCATTGGTTTTGAGTGGAGCCATTGGTTTGACGGAATAGTCAAATATTTTTTAGTGGAGTGAATAAATTTTTTAGATAATTATCATTCTACTGATCAGCTTACACATTAAAAATACTTGTGTTTAATGTCAAGACACAGTAAGATAGATATAAGGTTTGAAAAAAGGTCCAAAAAACCAAATCAGCTGATATGCAAATAATAAGTTTTTTATTATATATCTGCTTGCTAAGTAATAATTTAAATATTCAATCATTAATAATAATAATAGTTTTAAAATTGTCAATATTGATTTTTCATTTGCCAAATAATTAACCAACTTATAAATTTTATAATAATAATAAATAAGTTTTTTTTATAATGTTAAAAAAAAAAGGACTTTTTCAGGACTTTTCAGGACTTTAAGTCTGGTCCAGTCCCAAGATAGGACTGCCAGTTCCAGGACTGTCCTGGACTGTTTAGGACTGATTAACATCTCTACCTCTGGTAAGATTTACAAATCAAATTTTTTAAAAAAACAACATGTTTTTTTTTTGCAAAATAGGGTTCCTAACTGTAATCCTATCCTATTTGAATATTTTAATGTTTGAAATGATTATGAATATTCAAAATAAATACAAGTATCTGAAATAATTATGAATATTTGAACAAAATAAATTGTCAAAGATTTCAAGGTTGTACAAATTAAAATCTTAATCTTAATCTAATCAGATTTTAATTCCTGAGGATGCCCATGAAACATACTAATACTAATACTAATATGGCATCACATACAGTGTGTTTCAAAAAAAACCAGAATTGTTAATTTTGTCACTACAACACAATGGTCATATTGAATGATACGAAAAATATCTCTTTTAAAAGCTTAAAACAGTTGATTTTATTAAAAAAATTTTAATATGGTATTCGTTCACCATTTTTTTGTATTACAAGCTCACATCGATTTTGCATAGAATTTTCTAAATTGATTAGGACATTATGCGGAATATTTTGCCATTCCTCTACCATAAATCGTTCTAATTCTTCACAATTTCGTGGCATCCTTCTCTCAACATTTGTTTTAATGATACTCCATAAATTTTCAATGGGGTTCAAATCTGGGCTATTAGATGGCCAATTTATAACATTCGGGACATTTTCTGCAAGAAAAGACCTTGCAAGGCAACTTGTATGCTTGGGGTCATTGTCTTGCTGAAATCCCCAAGCATTCCTTCAATTTGTGTAATGTGCCCACTAAGTATTTCTACATAAAATGAAGCATCCATGATTTGTTTAAAACAAAAAAGGTTTGTTTTACCTTCTATGCAAAAACTGCCCCACGTGTGAATTTTGGTACGATCTTTTGGCATTCTTTGAACTGGCCTTTTGTTCTTATACCAACGTTCTACAGTATTCCTGAATAATAAAAATGACGTTTCATCAGTAAATAATGTTTTATTCCAATTGTCATTAAGATGTTGTTGTGCCTATTGTACACGGTTTTCTTTGTGAACAGCTGTCAACATTGGCATAGCTATTGGCAAAGCTTTTTATAACCCTTTTCATATATGTGTCTAATAAGACACTTGTACATGGTTTATTGCCAATGTTCTAGTCGAAACTGATGTATCTCTGCATATATATTGTCCCAAAGCTCTTGATGCATCCACAGTAATTTTTTTTTGACAGCCATTTCCTCTAGCATGATTCAAATTACTGGCTGTTTTTAATTTTTTTATATTATCATAGATGGTAGAAAGGGGTATATTCGTTCTTTTGTTTATTTCCTTGGCCTCACATATACCATTATTCCATAAATGTAATATGGCTTGACGTTGTGTTTCTTGTCTCGAAGTAGGCATGTTATAGTTAATTTTTTTAACAGGCAAAAAAGATTATCAGTTACGGAAGATCTCAATATTTAATTTCAAAACATAAGTTTATTTTGATTTTTTATAAAGCACGAATTAGATTTAATTTTGGGAAGCTATACATGTTTTTAGCTCACATAAAATTTTCCGGTTTTTTTTGAAACATACTGTAATTCATACTAACATTAATACAGGAAATACAAATTCCATATTAGTAATATTAAAATGATCAACTGATGTCTGGCTGACAGTATTGGAAATTCAATAATCTTGTGATCTGCATAAAAAAAATTTGTGCACATATGATCAAATTCATAAAGTTACAAATTATGAAAATAAAGAGCTCTATGAATTAATCCTCCTATTTTTTTTATCTTCACAACATTCACATGCTTTCTCAGAATTAAAGTCTTCAATTTCAGGTCCATTTAATAAAATCATTAAATGATTATTTAATGTATCAAGATTTATTTTGTTCCTTAATTTATTCTTTAATCAACTTTGTTTGGGAAAATATTCTTTCTACATTAGCATTTGAAAGAGGTATAATAAGAGTTATTTTAATTAGGAGGGATATTAAAAGTCTTCATCTGTGTCAAAAATGAATTTACAAAACATTTTTATTTGGTACTACGCAACACTGCTGGTGAAATTGAGTAGTTACGGCTGGTGTAACTGGTGAAACTATTCCACCAATGGTGTAACTCAAAGGAACTCAAATAAAATCATGTTAAAATTTCAAACAATTTATTTAATTATTTTCCAAATCATCTTGGTTCATAATATTTTCTACTAGAACACTTGGATCATAAGACATATTTCCTAGATTTATATTTCTTAAACTTTTTGATTGTTCATTAATAAATATTATTAAAATCACTTTCATCAAAAAAATTATTAATAATTGATGAATCAAATATATTATTCCTTATTTCATTAATATTCAACTCTTTACCATAATATTTTAATTCTTTATCAAGGTTAGAAATATATAATATGAATGAATATTACACATTGCTTTAACTTTGTAAATATTTAATTTGGTTAAATAATCTCCATAAATCCACTTTAATGTAGAGAAGTTACGTTCACAAACTGATTGAGATGGAGATATTGCATAAAGATGTAAGGCTAATTCTTGCAATTGGTCATTGTTTTTATCTGTATTAATGCTTAACTACCACATAGTTGGATTTATCATAGGACAAATGGTATCATTTCAATACCAATTATTTAACAAACGTGGCTAATTATGGCTTAACGTTGGGATATTATTGTCAGTTAATTGCAATAATATTCGGTGCTTACCAATTAATTAATTAGTTACAGTAAAAAGAATGTTCACTTTATTAACATTAAAGAATTTTTTTTTAAATTTTCAGATTTTTTTTTCTTATGTACTAACATTAATTTAGTATGATTTTCATTTCACCAGTTGCAACAAAACCGATTGACGAATGGTGAAATGTCGAAACTGGCGAATAGGTTCCACCTGCAACCTTAAGGATGACCCTATAAATTGGATGTTATTAAAATAAATAATTATGGAATTATTTATTTATGATAGCACTCTTTACATAGAAGAAAAGAAAAGGTCAATATAAGGCAAGGGACTTTTATGAGTTGAGACATGCGTGGATAATATGTAAAGAATTTAAAATTTTTTTTAAAAAATGATTTTTGAAATCCATAATACAATTTTTTAAATAATATGTTGTATTCGAAGAACCCTGCTCTTGATTATTTCATTATTTCCAATCAAATATTTTGTTGAGAAGAACACCGAATTGGTAATGCAGTAATGATGCATGACAAACTTTTGACTTAGTCATTGACGTGACGAAAGTACTAATTAAAAATAGTTACTCGCCAATGACTATTTTGACGATTTGACGAAATTGATGAAAAAATTAAATTTTTTGTTTTATAATAAAATATATATATAAAAGATCCCCTCCCCCTTAATTATATAGAATGAATATTTTGAGTCTACAAAAACAACCGTAATAATAATATTAATGATAAACTATTATAATAACAACATTCAAATTACAATCACCGTGCTAGAAACTTCCGCCTTCTCTTTATATCCAATAGTAAGTTTATGAGATAATATTGCTTAAGGCAAGGAGAATTATCTTCTTCCTAACCTTCTTTACCTTCATTGTCTTAACCTTTTTTCCTAGGATTGATTTTTTGTAGGTAGAAGTTCTTGATAGTGGAAGCAGCAATTTTCCTTGGGTAATTCATAGATTTCAATTACCAATTTTGCCAAATAAATCTGAATCCTGCTCAACATTTTTTCAATAGTGTTTAAAATCCTTCCACAGATTTCTTCTGTTCACCAATTGGCTTACTTGATGTTTCTTTTTATCAAATTAATTATTTTGGTTGAGATGAGGCAAAAGGCTAAAAGATAGTCCAATAAACAATCAATAACATGTGGATAAGATAATTATAGTTTTTTCTAATGTTAGTAATAAAGATTTTGAATTTTTATATTTAATTATATTTATATTAATATTAATAAAAAACTTTTTTATTGTTATTTATTTGAATTATTCTATTCCTATTTATAATTTTTTTGCTCTCATACTTGAGAACAAAAAAATGTTAAACATGAAAGAACTTTCTTGAGGTCTGCACTATTTGGATCTAAAATTTCATCTGATAATCTATGAAAGAAGAATGGCCTGACTAAATTAATCCAACCAATCAATTGATGACATTTTAGCAATGAACAAAAAAATAAGATCTGGGTTTTACACTGAATTGACATATAATAATAATGATGTAATTATTATTATTTTTTATTATTCATAATGTAAATTTGTTCATTATGAAAAGTGATCAAAAAACAACTTATATTATATAATCAAGCCAATACCATCATCATCATCAATAATTTTAATACTAAAATTGAGGTTTTTGATACTCATCCAAAAAATAAGTTTTTCGGTTTTCATGTAGAAAACTTTTGAATAAAATATCAATTAGTAAAATAAATACATCCTAAATATAAATAAAAATATATATTATTTGAAAAATAAAAAACTTACTTTAAGAAATCAATTAGGTGATCTTTTATTGTTGTCAATGTATCTTCTTCTACATTAGAACTTGATATTAAAGCTGGAATATATACTAGATATATAGTATATATTTTTTTTATCCCCAAAAAATAATGATTTATTAAGAATCGTTATTTTTTTTTCCAAAAAATCACCAAAAAACTTTTTATTGTTTATTTACCAAATAACCTTAAAAAATGTTCAGCTCCATATAATTGTGAACTTTCCAATTTATCAAATTTACTTTTCAAATCTCTATATTGTTGTCTCTCTAATTGATATAGTAATCTGGTTCCCAGACATTTATTAAAATAATAAAGTATTCCATTTATAATTTCTTCTGTTGATCCATCATTAAACAAACTATTTATATATATATATATATATATATTTAATAATTATATTGATTTGATTGATTTTTGATTTATCTATCATTTACCTATTATGTTGGCTATATTTTTTTTTTTGATACAATTTATAATGATCAATTATATCTACCACTGATGGTTTACGTGGTAATCGTACGACCTACATATACAATTAAACGTAAAGATGTATAGATATATTTTTATATTATTTATTATATTGTAATCCTTACTAATTGTGATGTATTAATATTTTCCCAATCTTGAACTAATATGGATTTTAGCATTTCAGGTATTGGAATTGCTATTATAGGTTTCTTGAGAATTTCATCCTAAAGACAATATAATATATTCATTCAATTAATGATTAATCATTATTATTAATAAAGTTTAAATAAGAGTTACTTTATCAATCGATTGTTCTCTTCTTCTCTTCTTTCCTTTTTCTGTGGTTGTTGTTGTTGTTGCAATATTTGATGACGCTGCAGTTGCTGCTGTATCAATATTCATTCGTCTACCTGTTGATGCTTTATTTTTTTTATTAAATGATTCTTCGATTTGTTTTCGTTTTGATAAATTAGTTTCATTAAATTTTAAAACTCTGGGTTCTGGAACCCATTCATCCCAGCTATTTTTTATTTTTTATTATGTTATTTGGATTTTTTTTTTGTGCAAAAATTTAAAAATTTAAAAAATTTTCTTACGTGTGCTTCCAACCTTTATAATGTATTAAATAATGTGGTCCGGAAACATCTGATTTTGGGTGTTTTTGATCCAAATAATCTACATCTAGCACCTTATTATTTTTTTATTTTTATTTTAATTAGAGAGGAATAATTAACAAAAAATTATTATAAACAGTATATAACATAAATACTTTAGCTTCATAAATCATTGGTCCATGATAACAAAGAATTCGTTCGCCTTTTTGATACAAAAATTGTTGTGACATTTATATATTTTTATATATGTGATATATTATACTTTTATTAATTAATTATTTATTTATTTTATATCAAGTTAAATTGAATTTTTATTGATGAAAGGAAGAAGGGTCGAAAAAAAAAAGGTTTTTACCATTGTTTTAGCGAAAGAAATAAATCGAAATAAATTAGCGTCTTTTTTAATTAAAAATATGTTGATCATGGTTAAATAGTTTCCTTTTTCGTAAAATTTATGTCTTACAAAATGAAATGATTACGATTGTTCCTAAACTAACAAGTGACAAAATAAATTGGTATTATTAGTATTTTTCATTTCCACACAATATTAAAATCAAATAAGATCAAAGATTGAGTGAGTTAAAAACTAACCTATTACACTTTACAGAACTGATAAATCAGAACTGTCCATGTACACATTCAGTTAAGTATATATACATTGCGACCATTGCTTCTAGGAAATCCACACAAGGTCTGTAAGTTAATAACATAAATTATGACCTAAAAAATTGTGAAGACCATTCCCTCCATTTTTACACATAATGACAAGTTTGTAATAACAAATGGTCATATATCTGAATAAGTTATTATATTAAATGTATTAAAAGTCGTATTTTTGTTTCAAATGATCAACACATTTTGCCATATGATAATGTTTAATATATAAAGTATCTCTTATCTTTTTCACTAATTCTTTTTTTTCTTTTGTAATCTATATAGTTGTGTTGTGCGTGAAAATGAAATCTATGTGAATTTGCAATTCACGTACGTGAAATTCAAATTAGCCAATCAGAATTTCATATCCAAACGCCCCACTCCAAAATTTCAATTATAAATTTCGATTTCATTTCACATACAGTTGCAAATCCACCTTAAACAATTTTGTTAAATGCTTATCACACTTAGTTGCTTTAAATTTACTTTTAATCAACTCATCTAATGTTTCATACCATTTGTCCATCCTTCGGTTATTAATAGCTAGATTTAGACCACATTATTCCAATTACAAGTTCCGTGTTTTACACTTCTTTCCTTTGAATATTCATCATCATCTTAACCCCAATGATTCTTTTTATTTAAACTTCTTTTTTTAGTAATTTTTCTAAATTTGTACTAGTTACACAATAATATCACATGATCGAATCACCATCATAATAAAAAACGTTTGGAATAAAAAATGCACAATAACAAACTATTTGAAACATTCAAGCAAGGCTAGTAAAATATGGTTCTATTTGTTTTATTATAAATCCGTTATTTTGTTTGATCTGATGTTATTTTTAAAACCTCATTATGCTATAATTAGTCGAATTAATGAATTAGTTTATTTGTTTTATTTATTAGGAAATTAAACAAATACAAAATTCAAGGATCGGCTCCTCTGGCCGTGCGTTTAATATTAATATTACACGGGGCCCACAAAGGATTCAAACTTTAAGCTTTCAATTACATAATAATTAAAACTACAACTATATAGAGAAGGAATGAATTGAGTACAAAGAATGTCTTTAAAACCGAGATGTATTTCAATCGAAACATAATGCAAGCAATAAAAAAAGTTTACATAAGAATTAATCATCTGTGAATTGTGAATGCAAATATGGAAATAAAAGTCTTTTTTTTTTTGTATTTAACCCGTTAATTTTTTTGGTTTTTTAATTTTTTAGTTTTGTAAAAATTTTTAAACAAAATTAAATTTTTCTTATTGAATAAGAAAAATCGCATTCTTTAAAAATTATTATATATATACTGGTATATATATAATATAAAAAAAAAATTACAAACTCTTCCTGTCTTTAACCTTTTTATAAATCAATAATCATGCGAAATATATTTAAAAAAAATAATGATATAGAATCAAATACACCAGAAAAAACAAAAAAACCCTCCTTTTTCTCCAAATTAATGTTAAAAATAAAAAGTTTTAATACATGGTTTGATAA